TAAGAACTACAAGCTACGGGAAATAAGGAAAACAATGATATTTTCAACTAAAAGGTCTATAAGGGAAACTGAATATCACAAAACTGAATCATAGTACAAGGAGGCAACCTACCCACCCCTTTTCGCCAGTGAATTTCAAATATTTGGAACAAAGCAACACACAACCACCATCATCTGACTCCCGAGGAACTATCAGTTAGATAAGGCTAAAAGGTTTCTACCACTGATTATTTTCCCCCAGAAAAAAATACCATTTAAACTTTGTCTCAAGGTTTATGTTCAATATATAAGCATCTGAATATAAAAACCAAAAACAAAAAACAAATGTTTGCCAAATATGCTTGACTACTGAAATAATTTTCCTCTAAACAGCTATTATTAGTAAGAAAAACTACTATACCACTAAGACGGCCTTAAGTCCTCCCGCTCTATCTGAAGATAAATGGCTCAGCAGTTAGAGTGTCAGCCTGCGGTGCAGAGAGACCCGGGTTCGGTTCCGCTAAGGGCACGTACCTCGGTTGCAGTTTGTCCCCGGCCCTGGTTGGGTCGTGTGGGTGGCAGCCACTCGATGTGTCCCTTTCACATCGGTGTTTCTCTCTCTCTCCCTCCCACTCTATCTGAACAAAATATGGAAAAATGTCCTCGGAATGAGGATTAAAAAAAGACAGCCTTAAGCAACATGCAGAGAAGTCCCTATAAGAATAATTTGAAGCTACAAGTATCAGTTCATTTCCCCAAGGGCTGGATGGTGTCTGGAGTCACAGCTCTTACTCTATGAAGTCCATCTGCCTTGCTTGCACGTGCTATTCAGTAGTTTTAGATTAAAACTCTAAAACCACCATTTACCTCTAATAAATACTTTCAAAAGTTTCCAAAATGCGCCCTGACCAATTTGGCTCAGCAGTTAGAGCATCGGCCCGCGGACCAGAGAGTCCCGGGTTCGGTTCCTGCTAAGGGCACGTACCTCGGTTGCAGTTTGTCCCCGGCCCGGATTGGGGTTGTGTGGGTGGCAACCAGTTGATGTGTCCCTCTCACATCGATGTTTCTCTCTCTCTCTTCCCCCCCCCATCTCCCTCCCGCTCTATCTGAAGATAAATGCAAAAAATGTCCTCGGGTGAGGATTAAAAAAAAAAAAAATTTCCAAAATGCATTCCTGAATCATAAATACTAACACTTGTCAAGAAAATAAGGTGACTCATACCTAGGGCTCTCAAAAAGTGTAGTCACACCTTCTCATTTCAAAGTAAATAAAAACCCGGGAACACCCTTCCTATCAGTTAGTCCTATGATGTTATCAAAAGTCATAGTTTCTCCTTCATTCTCTTTTCTCTGGTATCACAACATAAGAGTCCTAGTACTTTCTGATTCATCTCAGGGTTTATCATTTCCCCTGATAGAGAAATGGGAGTAACATCTAATAACTGAACATTTTAGGGTTTCAATGTTTTTGCTAAAGCTGTTGGATGAAAATTCTTTGCTCAACATTTTTTTTTCCTCTTGCTTAAATGTTATGATAAAAACAATGGAAAACTGTATGGCTTCACAGTAGATGTGCCCTTTTGCAAATGTTAGGGAAAAAAGAGAAATTGTTATGCTTCTTGCATCAAAACAATAGGATTAAGAGGACTTTTTACTACTACATAAATAAAAATACTAAGATAGAGATAAAATTAAGACCAATCAATATCTACTCACTATATAAACCATTCACAACTTTTTAGCCAGGTCTAGTTTGTCCTGATCACCCGGAATGTGAATCAACACCCTTCTCCTAAGCATCTGTTGGTACTTTACAGAAATGCAAACCTAATCTTAATATTCTGTTTGTCCACGGATAATTAGGAATGTACAGCTCAAAGACTGCTCCAAGGGTATTAAAGGACACCACCTTGATTATTGATTAAGAACTTTCCTAACTTGGTGAAACAGGAAGATAAATCATTACCAAAGAAAAGTCACATGGTAGCTGGTATCACAATTTCACTATGTTATATTTGCATTATCCATTACTCTATTTGCACCATTTTCCCCTTCCATGAACAACGATGATAAAGGTGACACTGTGTTCTATGCAGAAGAAAAGAGACCCTGAAATGTGGGTTTGCACATTACCTAGTTGTGGTTACAACCTCTCCGTGATCCTTTTTTGTAAGAAGTTGTGACTTCACGAAAGTGGTGAAAAAGGAAATATTGTTTCAAACACCTGTCCAAATATTTTTAAATGGTTAAGATGACAAGTGTTTTATTTAATTTATTAAAAATAAATGTATCAACCAAATATATTCTAAACACAAGGTGTCACAGGAACACTAGAAATAGTATCTATACTGTGCCTATTTATCAACAGCTAGAATAACAGTGGGATGACACTTCATTCCCTGCAGGTTTTCAGAATGCCTTGCTTCTATTTAAGAGACATGGTTCACTAAAAGTGCAGTATGGCAGGTCAAATATGTAATATAGGTTAGACGTAAGTATGGGAAAGATTCACAAATCAGTTGACAGAAGGGCAGAAAGCCTGAAATTCCAGTCCCCAAATGCTTAAGGTTTCGTAGTCCCAGAGATAAATTACTGTTTGGCTGTATTTATCAGTGTACCTAGAATTCCTACCCATTTTCTCCCTATGCTCAAAAAAATTAAAGGCTTGCTACCAAGATTAGGACCACAAACTGAATGTTAAGATCATGCAATATCATGTTTTTCTTTTGTTAACCTCAACTCCCATAAAACCAAACTAGATTTATAACAGAAATGCCATTAGAAGATTCAACCACTGGGCACCAACCACGATCACCTCTATACCGCTCTAGGAAAAGCTCTCTATATTTTTAATCAACTTAACCCTTAATTCAAGTATGTCACTTTGATTTGCTGTGGCAGTTGCACAGGGGACACAGGCAAGAGCGTATTCCTTCAATTGCTCTAATCACATTTCTTAAGCAGAAAGGTTTCTGAAACTGGTGCCTATCCTGATACATGAGTTAAGTTGCAGATAACATTGTAAAAATAAAGTTTTTAAAAAAATGAATGTATTCTTGATGTGATTGTCTGTTACAACAACTTCAGAACTTTATCAACTCTAGATAATAAAAACCATTCTATCCACAGGCTCCAGGAAGCTTTCCTTACCCTACTTCATTTGCATTCTAAGCAGTCTTACATGCGATGATGTTTCATTATTTTTTGAAGTTGATATGCTTTTCCTTTCTCCTACCCTTTTATGTGCTTTGGTCTTCCCAGCACTATTTTCCATGTTCTCAGGGCCCAGCCAGTGTTGTCTTTTGTTCTGTATAAAGCCTGAAAGTTATTCCGTAAAAAGCTTTAAGGTTTTGTCATCAAAGCAGAGCTTGGCAAAGTCATAACCTTTCTAAGCTCCTGCCTTCTCGGAGAATTACACTAGATTACCTAAGATCCTTTGGGCTCTTCAATTCATGAAATCCTTGCTGAAAAATGTTCCTGTGGCTGCCAATCACCTTCAAATTCCAACTCAAAACTTCCTTTGGAGAGCATTCCCTACCTAATTCCTGCAGATGAGCCTGGCGGTTTCAGAATTCACTAGACATCGAAATATCTGTCCGAAGACTGGCATACCACTGGTCAAGAATGAAAACACTTGACGTGAAAAGGCAGCACGATGGAATGAAAAGAGCATCCAGGCTCACATGTAAAGTGCTACTCAAACGCAAGGTGATAGTTAATTTTATAGATTCAGCACATACCAAAGTTGGTGCCAGAAACATGCCTACCAGGAAGCAAGGCTAACTTCCAAAGGGCTCTTTGGTTCACTGGGCGCTCTCCTCACCACTCGATGCACCCCTGAACCACGGAAGGGGGTGACATGTCGTGACCACGGGTGTTCCAAATGCCTTCTACTCGTAGGCCAGAAAGCAGAATGCCCCCCATGCTGTGAAGCCACTGTGCGCTCGAACGGCTTGGGTGTATCTTGAACAGGAATGAGATTTAATGAACGAGATAAAGTGCCCTACTGGTCTACCTGCCCGACAGGAGCGGACACGGGCCCCACCCTCCTCGCCTTCTCAGCAAGTTGATCATCCACCGTCTCCTGCCTCCAAGTCCCACTACCATGCCTCCCAGCGACCCAGGCGCCGGGGCAGCTCCTCCGGCCGCCCCTGGCCGGCCCCTGGCCTCCCCCAGGCCCCGCTGCCATCAGACCGGCCGCTCCGCCCAGCCCGGGCCCCGCGCACCTTGCTCTTCACCTCCATGGTGCCCAGGCAGCCGCTGCCCGCCCCGTGCCGGTGGCTGCGGTTCATGCTGAGGCCGGGCCCCGCGGCGGCCTCCTCCAGCCGGGCCGCCCCCCAGGAGCGCGGGGAGAGAGTGCGCGGCCGGAGGGCTCTGGACGTGGCTGCGGCCCGGGAGCCTCCTCACAGGCACCTGCAGGGGGGCGGCCGCGGCTCGGATCTCCGCGCAGAGCTCGGGTCGGCTGCTCCTCGCACGGCGAGACCGAGGGTCGGACTGGCGGCGCGGCGGGCGGGGACGCGACTCCCTCCCTCCGGGCCTCGGCGGCACCCGCGTCGGAGGAGGAGGCGGAGGGGGCGGAGCAGAGGCGACAGGCTCCGCAGCCTCGCACTCGGCCGCCTCCCCGGCGAGCCCGCGCGCGCGCACCCGAGCCGGGCGGGAGCCGCGGCGCGTGCGCGCGCTCACCTGCAGCCTCCGTAGAAGCCTCGGAAGCTCGCGCTCCGCCCACGCCCAATAGGAAGCGCGCACCTGCGCCCGCAGCGCCAACCAATCCACACACGCCTTGGGCGGCGAGTGGGAGGGCCACCTTCCCTAAAGTCCCGCCTACCGCAGCGCGATTGGTCTTGCGCTACGAGGGAGGGGCGGGATCACCTGAAGCCATGGGCCTCTCTGACCGAGCAGGAGAGCTGGAAAGCGCATGCACGGGCTATGGAGTTTCCGCCCCTGGAAGGCCGGCCGGAAGCGCGAGCGCACCTGAAGGCGAGCTGGGTGGGTGGGCCTTTTGCTCACGCGCAGGCGCGCGCGCCTGGTTGCCCGGGTCCCGGCTGGAGCTCGCATCCCGCTGGGGGATGGAACGTGCGGCCGGCTTCGTTGCCCAGGCGCCTTGGGTTCCACCGCGGTCCTCCGGCTCCCGCTTTGGGGTGCTGCAGCCTGAAACAACGCCCTTCCACAATTCTTTTGCGTCCTTTAGGTGTCGGGCTGCAAATCTGGTTGCAAAATTCAAGTTTTCCCGCTTCTGCCACAGTTAGTGGGGGAAAAAGAATCTCAGGGTTTGTCTGGCTGGGTTTTGTCCCTAGAGACTCCTTGTGCAATCCACCAGTCCCGAGGGGTTGCGTGGGTGCTTGGAGGGAGGGAAAGTGGGCTGAGGCCCAGGATGGCTCCTCGCAGGTATGGCCTCCCTCAGGATTTCTCCTAGACAGGTCTGCCAGAGATTTCTTCTTTCTTTCTTTTTAATTTCTGAAGTCCTCCAGCCATTTGGCCATTTGCTGTTTCCACCAATGACAGCCTTTGGATTGTGGCCATTACCCACGATGGACTGTGTCTCTGATAACAAAAGACTGAATTATCTCCAAATGCCCTAGAGACCAGTTCTCCTCACAGGGACCCTGTTTAGCATTAGCCGTGTTGGGGAGGTGAGGAGATCCCCAAGTCCTTGCACCTGCACCCACCCTGAGAAGGGCTCACCGTGGGACTGCTGCTGCTGTTGACCTCTCTTGTGAGCTGGGCCTGGGCCTGCGGGCGTGTTTCTAGCCCGGGATGGCCAACAAGAGCTGGGTAGGGTGCTTCATGCCACCTGAATTCTCAGGGCCTTCCTCTCCTCATCTCACATTCTAACACCTTGCACACCTCCTTCTCAGCACTTGTGACTCACACTTTGCAGTTTTCCTCTGTTTTTTCATGAGTAATCCACCTCTGCCCTCGAATCAAAGCTGTGGGAAGGCAGGGACCACGTCGGGTTTGTTCATTGTTGAGCCCGCAGCATGGGACCTGACTCCTGGCAGGTACTCGGATGTGTCTGTGCTGGCTGCTGGTGCTGGTTTCTCCATGCTAACTTTGGCCCATCTGGTTTCAAAGGTGAGAAGTCTATCTTTTCCCCTGAGTGGTTCAGGTCACCGAATGCTTGTCGGGGAATTGAAGGCTTTTCTAGCCATTATGGGTGGCAGTACAGGTGGAAAAGATACCATCCCAAGCTGAATAATAATAAGGCTGCCTTCTCCACCCCTGTTCATAAGTACCTTTTTTGTGACTCAAGCTGAGCTGGAAATGAAGTGTGGCCCTGTGATGAGGCAGTGGGATGGTTTGGTCTTAAAACCCTTAAAAAGTATGGAGGCCCCCCAGGTATTTTGTTTATATGTGTTATGTCTTTCAGTAGTCATCGTAGTAGAATGAAAACAGAAATGTTTAAGACACAAGAACACACAAGCACACATTCCAGTAGTCATCAGGGTGATGATATCATTACATGTCATGTGCCTTCTAGAAAACTCCATTGTATACCTGTGAGACAAGGAGGGCGAGAAGAGCAAGTGACATCACAGTGTTGTGAAAATAGTTTTGCCTTTGAGAATCCCTTTGCAAGGTCCCAGGGGCCCCACTTTGAGAACCACTGACTAGAAAACATAACCTTTAGGGATCTCTAGTTTCAGTTGTCACCCTCCTCTTCCCAGTTGTCAGGGCCACACCCTGGGAGCAAGGGCCCCAGTTCTGTATGAGGATTGTCAGATGGTTGAGCTTTATTACTGTTATTGGTACTGATTTATCAGGCCTTTTTTAAAAGGAAGTTCGTGGGCGCCAACACACCTGCGTGGGCCCTGCATTCCTTGAGGTGTCATCACATCCTCTCTCCCCTCCCCCAGGGTGTGGCGTCCCTCTTTACTTGGACTTTCCTTTCTGGAAGGGAGGGCCGGGCCAGAGCTTCCTGGATCTCCTAAGCAGAATTGGCTCCGAGGCCTGTCTCACAAGAGGGCCTGGGCTGTGTAAGGAAGGAATGTGGAAAATAGTTTGAATTTGATAAAGGTGCTGTGGAGGAGGGGAACCCTTTCATCCTGAGAGCTGCTCGGGCCACAAGTGTGTTCACAGGGCCTGAATTTCAGCAATTCTCTGGAAGCATGAAGCCTGGAGAAAAGCACACAGAAGGGTTTGTATCCCTGTATCTTTGTTTGAAGACTGAAGTCTAATCTCATTTCTCTCCATCATCCCTCCCCACCCCCAAATCCTTGAGCTAAAGCTGATCAAGACCTACATATGGAAGGAAAAGCTGGCCTGGGAGAATTAACACTCAGTGAGCTGGGAAGATAGGTGAGTTCGTGACACGGACTCTATAAATTACTAGGTGCACAAAATCATTAGTTGGGAACTGGCTACCGCTGATTATCACACCCACACACTGTCTGACCTCTCAACCCATCTCCACCCCCTGAAAGGACCTAGTGAGGGTTACATTTCTGCTTTATCCTATTCAAGACTTTATGTCAAGTTCTACAACTTAACACACTGTTGGGTTCGTTTGGTGGAGTTTGTAATTTTCCACAATTAGTTTTACTGATTCCGGTCATGCATAATGATACTTTTTTCTTTCCTTCTTCCTCCAACTCTTGGGGTGGGGAGAAAAGAGGTGGCAAGAAGTCGTACACAATGGTGGTGAGGTATTTTTCAAGAAGTTTCTCTTGCCAGCTCTTTTTCTCCTTGGTTGCTCAAGTTCCAGTTTTGATGGCGCTGGTTAATGATTCTTTGAAAGAGTTGAAGTGTATATTTATGAATCTCAGACTACTCACTAAAGCATTTTAAGCTCTTTAGCAGAGGTGGAATTAAGTCACATGATCTGTTTTCTGGTTAATAGCTTATAATATTTTAGTACTTTGTGTAGGGGTGGGACTCACAGCTCCAGAAACTAAATAATTATTTCCTGTAGCCTATAAGAGGCTAGATGCCCTTCTAGGTAAAAACAACAACGACACAAAAACGAAGCACCATCTTCATGGGAGGCAGTATATGCCAGGTACTGTGCATAAGCCCTGCCCGTGAGGAGCTGACCTTTTCCCTCTCTGGGACTCAATTTCTCCATCTGTAAATGCAGGCGCCAGAATGAGATCATCTCCACGGTCCCTTCCAGCTCCTAACGTTCTGTGGTACCCGGGGGATAATGAAGATTGATCATTATTTCAACATTACCAGGGGTAAACTGGAAGGAAAAAGGTAATCTTTTTTTCAAGGTCAACAGACAGGCTGCAGTCATCAGCTAAAAGATTTCAGTTCCTGGGAAGTGTTGGTGAAAATGATGAAAACTAACACTTAGGAGGGTCCCACCAGGTGCCAGGAACTGTGCAAAGCTCGCCCGAGGATTATCTTATTTACATTTAGCAGCATGAAAGAGCTTTGTGTTTGGAAGCCTTCAGACCTTAATTTTTTTTTTTTAAGTGATAGATGTTAATTTGAGCCCTTGCTCTGCTCCTTGCTGGCTGGGTAACCTTGACCCTGTTCCCTTAATGGCTAGGAGCCTCAGATTCCTCCTCTGTGGAAGGAGATGGCAGCCCTGGCTGGTGTTGCTCAGTGGTTAGAGCATCAGCCTGTAGACTGAAGGGTCTCGGGTTCGATTTCCAGTCAAGGGCACTGGATTGCAGGTTCAGTCCCCAGCCCCAGTTGGGGTCGTGTGGGACACAACCGATGAGCCTCTCTCACATTCATGTTTCTCTCTTCATCCTCCTCTTCCACTCTGTCAAAAAAACCAATGGAAAAATATCCTCAGGGGAGGATTAACAACAACAACAACAAAAAGGAGATGGCAGTGCCCACCTCATCGCATTGTTGCTGGGATCAGATGAGAAATCATCCATGAAACAGCTCTGCCAAGCATCAGATGTGGTGTGAACATCAGTGGTTATTATTCAGCAAATAATATTGCCTTTGAAAGCCTTTGAAAATAATTCCTTGAAATAAAACAGAAATGGGTAATAAACCAGTCTTTTTGTTTTCACAGGGCAGCCTTTTAATGGATGTCTCTTAGATAGGCCGAGAGCTGGCCTAGAGTCGTTGAGAACAGGAGTCGGGCCAGAGGCCTAACATTCAAACCCTGCCCCTGCCATCCTAGCTGAGTGACGCTGGCCAAGTTCTTGCCTTCTCTGACCCTTGGTTTCTGCGTTTGTGAAATGAGATTACTAGGAGAATCGCTGTCTTAATTTATGTACAGAGCACAGGATGGAACTCAGCACACAGTCAGGACTACATAAATGTTACCTTTTATTGTCGTTATTGCTGTCTAATTATTTCTATTACCTACTGCCATAACAGAATTCATTAATGACTATTTAATAAACCCCAACTGGTCCGGCCGGTGTGGCTCAGTGGTTGAGCATCGACCCACGCACCAAGAAGTCGCCGGTTCGATTCCCAGTCAGGGCACATGCCCAGGTTGTGGGCCTGATCCCCAGCGGGGGGCATGCAGGAGGTGGCCAATCAATGTTCTCTCTCATCGATGTGTCTCTCTCCTCACTTCCTCTCTCTCTAAAATCAATAAAGGAAAAAAAATTCGAAAAAAAAAAATGCACAAACCCCAACTGTGTTTATAACACTGTGCTTGACTTCGAGATGAAAGATAATAAAAAAGGAGCATGAAGGTATGATTCTCACTGTCCAGCGCTTCACAGTTTACATATAGATGGGCTCAGCAAACATTCCTTGAGCTCTTACCTGGATCGGTCAGAGAAACATGACCACAATCGAGTTCCTGCCTCCAAGGGGCTCCAGCTGAGAGCCAGGCCCAGGAGTGCTGTCTTCCGGAAGTGGTGGGCACAGCAGCAAGGGTGGTGGTGGTGGGGGGGGTGCAGTTGACTACCCAGCAGTCACATCTGGCTCCTCCACAACCAGCTGTGGAACTCTGGGCACTTGTCTTACTCTCTCTAAAGACCACGTTCCACAGGAGTGAACTGAAGATGGTAATAGTATAGACCATCTTTGCCTCCCCCACTATCCAGGGAGTGTCTGCGATGTGCCAGGCACCCTCCTAGATGGATACTGTGGTCAGTAAGACATAACAGCATCCCGCCCTCCTGGAGCTGACCCTCCGGGGGAGCGAGAATACACTAATTGCTTAATTAAAATACACAGTGTGCTTGTGCTAAGAGCCTTGCAGAAAAATTAAGCAAGAAATGGGGATGGGGAGGCCTGGAACGGGGCAGGGCGGGGGGGGGGGGCAAGGTGTGGATGGAGAAAGAAAAATTTAAATGAGGTGGCCAGGGATGGCCTCTCAGGAAAGCTGGAGGTGAGAAAGTGATCCTCCTGTTTTCCCAGCTGTCCCCCACCCACCCCCACCCTCCCGAGTGGGGGGCAACCTTCAGGAAGGGCTCTGCTGGGGTGTGAGGATTAAAGGTGATAAGGCTGCTCAGTGTTCAGAAGACACCAGCTGCTATTTTAAGACATTACGCAGTACAAGGCAGGGCATGAAAGAGGTGGGCGGGAGCAGAAGAGAGAGGATGACGAAGTCGGCCTGGGGAGGTCTGGAGTGTTTCAGGGGTGAAGTGCCTTTGGTTCGAGCCAGGGCAGAAGAATGAGTAGGAGTTTTCTAGAGGCTGGAGGAGGCATTCCAGGGAGAGGGAGCTTCCCAGCAGAGGTGCGTGTGGGGGTGAAGAACACGGTGTGTTCCCTGAGCCTCTGAGTGAGGCTGGCTGTGTGCTCAGTGGGGGTCCTCTCTGGAGAGGCTGGAGAAGTAGGTGGGAACCAGATGACAGCACCTCAAAGGCCTTGGGAGGAGGTTATGCTTTCTCCAGTTGGTGCCTGGAGAGGAAAACTCTGTAGAACTGGGCGATGAAAGGATCAGATTTGTGTTTCCATAAGCTCGAGCGAGGAGGTAGGCGCTGGACAGCAAACGAAGGAGTCTTGCAGGGAAGGGTATGATTAAACGGCCGAATGAATGGTGTGGTCCCTGAGACCTAGGGAGGAGGCAGGACGTCCGTCCGTCCAACCGTCCGTCCGTCCGTCCGTCCAGCCAGCCAGCACATCTTTATGGCGGTGCAGCAATGTGCCAGGCACAGGCTGGATGCTGAGCTGCTCTGGGGATAAGACCACGTCTTTGCTTAAGAGAGGCAGACGATAAGCCAGAGAACCCATGGGGAGGCGGGGCAGGGAAGTGTCACAAACAAGACTGCTCTGTGGCCCAGGCAGGTGACTGCAAGGAGGAAAGAAGCAGGGAGGGGCCTGCAGAAGAGGGGGTGCAGCCCACACAAAGGGCTCACTGCCAGCCGTGTGGCTGCTCGAGAACACGCGCTTCCTAGTGGCAGGTTCTGTCTGAGCCTTCAGGGGAGGCTGATACACATACTTTTTTATTTTGTTAATCCTCACCCGAGGATATTTTTTTCCACTGATTTTTAGAGAGAGTGGAAGGGAGGGAGGGAGAGGGAGAGGGAGAGAGAAAGAAACGTCGATGGCAGAGAGACACATGGATTGGTTGCCTCCCACACGTGCCCCGACTGGGATGGGATTGAACCTGCAACCCACGTATGTGCCTTTTACCGGGAGTCGAACCTGAGATCCTTCAGTGCACGGGCCTACGCTCTAACCACTGCCCAGTGGGCCAGGGCAGGATAGACTGATATATATATATATATGTTTTTTTAATATTGTTTTTTTTATTGATTTTCTAGAGAGAGGAAGAAAGAGGGAGCTAGAGATAGAAACATCGATGAGAGAGAACATCTATTGGCCGCCTCCTGCATGCCCCCCACTGGGGATCAGGTCCACAACCTGGGCATGTGTCCTGACCGGGAATCGAACCAGCGACCTCTTAGTGCATGGGTGGACGCTCAACCACTGAGCCACACTGGCCAGGCTGGAGATGCTGCTATTTTTTTTTTTAATCCTCAGCCGAGGATGTTTTTCCATCTATCTTCAGATAGAGGGGGAGGGAGGGAGAGAGAGAGAAACATCGATGTGAGAGGGACACATCGACTGGTTGCCTCTCACATGACCCCCACCAGGGCTGGGGACAAACTGCAACCGAGATACGTGCCCTTGACCAGGATTGAACCTGAGATCCATGTATTTTGTCTTGTAAGCCAGGGAGTCCCCAACGTGACTGAGGATAAGAATCATCTTGGGTGCTTATTAAAAATGCAGGTTCCAGGGGCCCCCTTCTGTGGTCCCATTTCTGGAGGTCTGGAAGGGGGCCCAGGGAACCTGTAATCTTAACTATTCTCCAGGGCATTCTTACTCTCAGTAAGTCTGGGGAAATGTTGATGTCAGCATATCATTGCGGGTTTCTGACCTGGGAGTTAGACACGGGAGTTCCAGGATAGACCCGAGGCGAGAGAAAGTCTGCAGGTAGGAAGACCCATGAAGAGGCCCGGTGTGTGTCAGGACACAAGATGGGGAAGGTCAGGACTCGGGTCATGTAAGGGACTGCATTAGTTTTTAGGGCTGTCATAACAAAGGACCACAAATGGGGAGGCTTGAAACAACAGAAATGTGTCCTCTCACAGTTCGGGAAGCCAGAAGTCTGACGTGGACAGGGCTGGTCCTTCTGGAAGCTGGGGGTGGGGGAGGGGCGGGATCTGATGCAGGCCTCTCTTCTAGCTCCTGGGGTTACAGGGGCATCACTGGAGTCTCTGATTTCATAATCACGTGGCAGTTTCTCCATTTTAACTTTTAAATTAGATGTTGCCTGAAAGATGAAAAAAGGGAAAAGACTATAGGATTCGTTTCAAAGGTGCTGGCTTGGAGCCCTGGCTGGGTAGCTCCCTTGTCAGAGCATGGTCCCATACAAGAATCAATCAGTGAATACAGAAATAAATGGAACAACACATCGATGTTTCTCTTTCTATCTCTCCCAAACCAATCAATCAATAAAAACAATTTTTTAAAAAGCTGCTTGCCGCCCAGCTGGTGTGGCTCAGTGGTTGAGTGTCGACCCATGCACCAAGAGGTCGCTGGTTCGATTCCCGGTCAGGGCACATGCCCAGGCTGTGGGCCAGATCCCCAGTAGGGGGCATGCAGGAGGCGGCCAATCGATCTTCTCTCTCATCGATGTTCTCTCTCTCTCCCTTCCTCTCTCTCTAAAATCAATAAAGAAAAAAAGTTTTAAATAAAAAGCTGCTTGCCTGGCATAAGATAAATTCTCCCGATGCTTGTCCCGTGAATGGACAGAAACATTTTTGTTAGGGACTTTGGGGATGTTTGTCAGCGGCGTAGTAAGAATAAAAGGCACACTGGAGGCCCTGCGTAGGGAATAATGAGGAAACCAGAGACGGTGGCGACACACCCCCAGGAATAAGGTTGTCGCTGGAGGCAGCCACGAATAATAACATAAATGTCACGGAGCACTAAAGTGTGCAGCGGCCGCTCCTGGAGCGTATACACCTCTACTCTCATTTCGTCTGACGTTGATCAACTCCCCCAGCTGACCTGGGACTTTCCCAGTTTTAGCCCCGAGACTCCCAGAAAACCCCAGAAAAGTCCTAGCAAACGCTATTTCATCTTCACGAAAACATATGGACAGTTCTCACCCGCATGTTACAGATCAGGACACTGAGCACAGAGAAGTTAAGTAACTTGCCCAGGAACATAACACAGGTACGTGGCAGAGCTGACTCAAACCCAAGCCATTGATTTCCAGGGCCCTCGCCCTCCTACGTTGCCTTTATAGGGTCAAGTGAATTTCAGTTCTTGGTTTGAAAGTCTTTCTTCCTTTATCAAATACATCGTTTTGTTTGGAAGCAGAAAGCACCGTTGTGTCCTTTCCCCCCTGCCCTGAGACAATCCTACAGGTAAAAAGTCAGTTAAGGGTCAGGTTGCAAGACTTGTTGCCTTCTACGAGCCTTCTAGAAACATGACACCCTCCGGAGAATCTGCCCCCACAGCCCCAGCATCTGATCAAAATTCCTCTTGGGATTTTTTTTTCAGGAGGAGAGAGAGTGCTGTTCTCTGCTCAGAGGAGTTTCCAAAATGAAAATAAACCAGCGAACAACCCAACTCGTGAACGGAGATCCAGTAACTTAGCCTTATTAAGTTCAACATTAAGGAAAAGAAAACGAAATCATTTGGAGAAACCTTTCTCTCCCTCGGGAGACATTTAAGAACCAAACATATTTTTTAAAGATTTAGAGGAATGCCAAGTTTGTGTAAAATTATACCAATGATGGAAGAAGCTGGAGAACAACAACAAAGCCGGCCGGAGTCAGTGCCCACGTCGTGTGCTCTTGGGAAACGGAGGAAAGCGAGGAGGCC